CTGCTCTAGATGTTTTGGACTACAGTCCCTATCAACCCCAACCAGTCCAGTCATGTTCTTATTAGTTTCTGTATCATGCAGCCATGCTGGCTGGGGCTGGTGAAGTTTAGTCTAGAACATTGGGAGGGCATTGGATTGGCAAGGATTTCCCTACATAGACTCACAAGACTTCCCCAGACCAGAATTTCAGTTGGTTCAGGCATGGATGGGGTGGGAGGATGTTTCCTGCTGCAGACACTTTTCTGATCTTATATATTTTTTTCCCCTGCCAGAGATAATGAATGCAAAGAGGTGGTGAATCGATTGATTCCGGGTGAGAAGCCTGGAATATATACAAAAGGTAACTTCAAGTGGCTCATTCCTCCCTTAGGCTGGAGGGAAATTATAATATTTTACCCACCTCCATGGGAAACCAATCTGTTCTCAAACCACCTCTGCTCTCTCTACCTCTCTCCCCACCAGTTAGGGCTTCCTAATGGGGGCTTAATATTGCAACTCGGTCCTTGAGGATAATCACAGATAGGTTATTGGCAAGAGACTTTTTAAACTTTGGATTCCTCTGAGAAGTGATAAATACGGATTCAGTGAGGGGAGGGGATATGGCTTGTCAGCATTTTGATTCCAGTAACATTTTGAGGATGCTGCAAAAAGTGATAAAACATTTAAAAACTAAAACCAAACCAAACATGGCATGATGAAGTCTTTGCCCATATACAGGGGGTGGGGGGTGGGGTGGTAGCGGTGGTGGTAGAATCAGTTCTTCATGGGACCGTCCTACTGCAAAGGATATAAGGTAGGAGAGGCATCCAGCGCAGCTAGACATCTTGAATGCCCTTCTTGAGGCCCATGCTTTAAATGGCTGCTTCTGGACATTCAAATGGGTAAGGTTATTTATTGTATTACACTATTTAAAATGAACATAGTTCAACACAGTTTTGAAAAATCAAATGAGGCTATGCCATTTTGTTCTTCTGAAGCATGAAACAACGTAGCCAAGGAGATCCCAGTTATTCATGTATATTATTCACCTTGCATGCAGTCTTGTTTTGCCTACTTTTAAATAACTTCTTGTACAATTTTCATTGTTTAGAGGGTTCCTGTACACCCCCCCTTCTTCTGGTACTTTCCTCCTTTGTTTTGGAAGAGTTAGCTGGGCAACATACAATTGTCCTTACTTGTTTTTCACTTGGGCATAGGACTTATTTGGTGTAAACATGCATATACTTGAGTGCAGTGTGTTCAGTGAGTCTAACTACATACTAGAAAAATGTTGTAAACTGTTTTGCTATTTGCTTTATAAAATTGTAATATACAATTTTTATGAATAAAGAAATAGGTGTTCATATGGTTAAAATGAGCATATAAAATAACTTGTTGGGAATTGAACTGAGTAAGTTCTTTTTATATTTCAATTTTCGAGCTTTAAGACTCCCTCATAAACTTTAATTGTGCTAAAGAGTTTGCATTATTTGGGGATTAGATTTAACTCATAAGGTTTCTATTTAGTCAAAAGGCTACATACCTATCAGATCTAGCAACTGTACAGGGAAAAGCGATATATGCACCCTTAAAGGATATTTTTTGTGGTTCTTTTTCACATCTAGGGCAGATCACCTTATATTTCGTGAAAGCAGATTACAGCCGTTATCACATGCTTTTCGTTGACACAACAATAATGAAGGCCCTTCATCTTTATAGTATGTGCCATTGTGGATGGGGGGGGGAGTGCACTGGTGTGTGTGTTTGCAAGGAGTGTGTGCTATTGGATGTGTCAGGTATACCTGCCAACTAAAAATATAAAAATGCAGTGGTTATTTTTCTTTAGACCCACCAGAAATGTTCCACTCACTGAAGTGCAATCTGAACTGGAAATGAAGTTGTTGGGGAGAGGAAAATATGTCTCTTTCTTCATTTCCACTCAAATCATCTTCTCCCAAGTTCTTCTTTAAAAAGAAAAATGGCAGCATTTGGTTTTGTAACATTCATTTGAATGAACTGTATGAGCTAAAACCTAAGAAAATGGAACTTGCTTGAAGTCGTGGCCCTAATGCAGTGCTTCAGCTAGTACTGCTCATTAGCCCTCATTGTTACAAAACATTCTCCATAGTTCAGTTGGTTAGAGTGTGGTGATGATAATGCCAATGTTTGATCCCTGTATGGGACAGCTGCTTATTCCTGCATTGCAGGGGGTAGGATGAGATGATCCCCAGGGTCCCTTCCAACCTGACAGTTCTGTGATTCTATGACCTCTGGAGAAAAATGACATGGAGAACATAGCCAAAGTTTTTGAGCAGATCCAGGACTTAAGATGGACTGAGCATCATCTTGAATCAATGTGAATTGTAGGGGCTTGGACACTGCTGCATTATAAAAGAACTTTAGATCACTTTTCTCAAATTTTGAATATTCAGCAGCATAATACATTATATGAATTGGCTTCATGCACAAGCAGAAGCCATTCATAAACTATATGCCACTGAAGATTTTATGAATTAAAATGCATCTGAACTGTTTTCATAAATATGTCTGCTCCACACAATCTGCATCACCTGGATTTCAAGGTTGTGAGCAACCCTTTGTATTTTAGTGCTGTGGTACAGTTAGCATTTGAAAGATATATTCAGCCAGCACAGCTAGATATCTTAGAACAGATTCATGTGCTATTATACATTGTGTCTGCATTGTTATGGTAGGTTAAATGGTACTTTCTATTGGCCTGTTCCCCTTTTAAGGCTGTCCATGTTCCCCTTTTAAAGCTGTCCATCCTTTTGGTGGATGTGGGTGGTGCTGTGGGTTAAACCACAGAGCCTAGGGCTTGCTGATCAGAAGGTTGGTGGTTCGAATCCCTGTGACGGGATGAGCTCCCATTATTTGGTCCCAGATCCCGCCAACCTAGCAGTTTGAGAGCACGAAGTGCAAGTAGATAAATAGGTACAGCTGCAGCGGGAAGGTAAACAGCATTTCTGTGTGCTGCTCTGGTTCACCAGAAGTGGCTTAGTCATGCTGGCCACATGACCCGGAAGCTGTATGCCGGTGCCCTTGGCCAATAAAGCGAGATGAGCGCCGCAACCCCAGAGTCATCTGCAACTGGACCTGGATACCATTACATTTTGTCAGACATGTTTTCTGCATAAAGGCATACTCTTTTACCCCCAGGAATGTTTCCAGTATCCATTCATTTATGGTAGGTCATAATAATACTACTCACAACAATGAATGATTGGTTTCAGGATTATGCAGGTTTTGTGTACTCAAACCAAGGTTATAACAGATTAACATTGCAGGATAAATAACCTAAATGGCTTTCTGTGAGCTTTGTTCAGAAAGTTGCATGTTATGAAGCTCACTAGATTCTCACTAAGTTTGTTAAATATTTATTAATCTTTCACTCAATCATGATAGCAGCAAATAAGGCTTTATCTTATACCTCTTTAACTATGTGCTCCCAACCCAAAATATGTCTGTTCCTTCCCCCTCTCTTTCCTCATCCTAATTCTTAATGTGACATCTTTTTGGGGTCTGAAGCTAGGGAACCAGAACCATCAGATGACATAATAGACATATACAAGGCTGTCGCCAAATCCCTGGATTTGCCAGCGGACAAGATTATCTATCTACACAAATCTGGTAAGAGTAGTTGTCATCTTATGACCTATTATTTCTCAATTTGGGGTAAATAATGGTGAAGTTTCTTTCTCTCTCTCTCTCTCTCTCTCTCTCTGTTCCTTCCTTCCTTCCTTCCTTCCTTCCTTCCTTCCTTCCTTCCTTCCTTCTCTTTCTAAAAATGGAACACAAATTAGATTAAGTTAAGGAACATTGCATTAAACAACATATGTAAAAACAGCCAAAGAGCCAAATAAAAGAAAGGCAGATAAAAATATATACTGTATTTTTAAAATCTTCAATTGCATCCGCCATCACCTGATCAAGAGTAGTATGTCTAATGGAACAGGTGAGTCCAAATAGCCCTGATAGAAGCAACTGGTGATGGATCCAGGGAGATCTGTCCAGCAGGGCATTCCACAGTCAGGCTACTTGAATATCAAAGACCCGCCTCCTTTACCTCAATCAGGCATCTGACTGAGGTAGATCAGAAAGCAGAGGTGAGGCCATTGATCTGATCAAGCACAAACAGCTTCAGATGGGAAGTGCATCTCTCAATATATCCTGGTCCCAGGCTGTAGCGTTTGTTACGCTAGTTTCTCTCAGCAGTGTCAGCTGTGTGGGCTCTAGGGTGTTTTCTGGGGAAGGGAGGCTTGAGCAACACGCTCTCTATGTGCTCCCCTTCCTAAATGGGCCTACCTCTTCTGCACCATTGGCCTGCTGCTCATTTGCTTGCCTCTCGCTCTGGATCCAATCAGCACTACCTCCCAGAATGAGCGTGGCGGAGGTGTGCAATGGAGGTTGTCTTTCTTCTCCTTGCTCCTTTTGCTACTCACCCACTTGCAGAGTGCAGGTGAAAAGCCAGCAGCAGAACCGACAAGGTCTTACAATGGGCCCCCTACTCCTGTGTGGGCTTCAGCAGTGGTGCCAACCCTGCCTGTGAATTAAAGGGGAAAGGGTTGCTGGTTCTCTTAAGCCAACTTTCCTTGTACAGAAAGAGCACCTAAAATGATCAAATGGCTACAGCACCTTCCCTACAAGGAAAGAGGATGAAGGAATCAGCATGTATATTAGCCCTGAGGTGTCCATACAGCTAGAGTCTCCCTATTAGCTAGTTACCAGGTTTCTGCTCCCTGGTCCCAATTCCACATCTTCCTATGAGACATTATCTTTTTTCTTCCACAGCTCCATGCCCGGGTGCATGAGTTAAATCCTGGAACCTGGGGTTGTGCGTGACTGCAAATATGGCTCAAATTTGTAAAACCATCCCATTTGGAAAGAAAATCAACTGGATCACATCCCTAGAGATGTAACAAAATGGTGTATCAATGCCACTGTCAGTCATTTAATTGTATTGAAAACCCATCAAAACCAATTAAAACCATCAAAGACAGAAATGTGTTCAATTTTATTTTAATCTATTTATTTTTAATTGGCAAATTTATATGCCATCTTTCATGACACTGCAAGACAGTTAACACAATCACAATTGCAAAAATGGATGATATGTAAAATGCAAAGAAGAAGAGAAAAAACAAGTTGCCATTATAGCTTGAATAATCTTAAAGGAATTCTCTGTTCTTTGTGGTTTCTCTGCAGTCAGTCACACAAAAGTGGGTGTGGCCAGAGGCAAAAGTGGCCAGAGCATCTTTGTACTGAAGGGCCGTAGCTCTTGCCTTCCATGCAGAAGGACCTGGGTGTCACCCCAGCTTCTTCTGGGGAGGAAAAAACTCAAACACGTGGCAGAGTTCCCAAAAATAGACCAGAGGCAATTGTACTTCATCCAGCAGAGTTTTTACTTCCTACTGAAGGCAAATGAACATAATGGTTACTAATCCAGTACATTCAGGATTGGCACAGTCCATAAAAAATCCAGTTGCAGTACTTACAATAAAACTTACAAAAACTTATAACAAGGCTAAAACTTAACGACACTACAGCATACAGAAAACAGAACACTGGAAGAAAACAAAAGAGCGGGAGAGAGAGAGAAAGAAAGTGAGTCTTACTATTATAATCAGCACAATCTTGACAAAGATAACAGAACCAGTTTAAGGCAACTGTAGCTCAGCTCCCCAGCAGAAATAACCCAAACAAAAACCTTATTCCTGTTTCCTTCACATAGAAAGAAAACTTTCTTTCACAAAGAGAAGAAACCTTCTAGAACCCTCTTGAAACTAATCAGAATAGGAAAGACCTCTACGCATCAGATCAATACTTTCTGTACTAAGAAATGCAAACTGACAGTGCAGTCACTGGGTATCTCCTGGTAGGGCTGGGAATGCCCCCTACCTTAAATTCTAGAGATCCACTGTGAATCCATGAAGAAAGTTCCAAGCTTCATGGACCTAGTGGTCTGATTCAGCATAAGTCGCTTCCTAGGCTACATTCCAGCCATGCAAAAGTCAGAAAACATTATCTCTATCCAAGATACCTAAAATGATCAAAAGGCTAGAGCACCTTCCCTAAAAGTTGATCTCCTATTGAGACAGACAGACTGCCATTGCAGGGATGTTCCACTTCCCCTCATCTTGTTATCACCTTTACCATTGTGTTTTGAGTCTGGATCTTCAGACCACCAAAAAACGCTGAATTAAGCTGCAATCCAGCCAAGCAGAGGTTTAAGGTTCACACACACACACACAGACACACACTACTTCTTCATCCAGGCAATTAAGAGGCAATATCACCATTTGATAATACATTCCAGCCATGCAAAAGCACTTGAAAAGAGTGGGAATTAGGACCATTAACAAGTCTGGTTGGGGATGTGGCACTGCCTGGGGAGAGTTTCAATGGAGCCCTGCACCTGAAGTTCCACATCAATGGCACTATCTCCATTTATGCGAGCTGTTTTTTCTAATATAATGCCATTCTCATATACGTTCGATGCACACCATCTGCTTATATATGCATGGAGAACTGCTGTTCCACCATCTATTGTTCTCTAATGGTGATCGTGGGGGAGAATCCCACACCTTGGTGCATGTTACCTAGCAACCAGCACCACATTGTACAAGACATTTTGGTCAATACTGGGTGGAGCATCTATTTTCACTGGCAGCTGGGCAGTCAGTAGCTCCTGTCTTTTTTAGTGGCAAAGGAGCCTAATGAAGTCTCTGGGGAACAATGCTGTAAAATGTCCACTCACTGGGCCTTACATGTTACTGTTGCTATACTGGCTGTTTTATATATTGATTTTGGCAGCTCTGGCGTCTGAAGAAGAATCAGGAAGCATATTGCTGAGCAATCTCAAAGAGTGAAACACTGGGAATGAACAAAAAGCAGCATGTGAAACAATTCTTATTTTGTGCATTTTGCTGTATAACAGAGCTTCTGTTAATGGGGGAAGCCCTCATCTACTCAATAACTAAGCTGAAGAAGGAGCCTCTGTGATCATTAATGAGATAAAAATAAAAACAGAGAGCTGAGTGTTGTGATTTTTTGATATATATTTTTTAAAGAGACAAGAAGAGAAAGAGAACTAATTTGGTTGCTCTGAAAGGTTGTTTGTTCTACTGATGCTCCAGCTCCCAGACTCCCATACAGTCAATGCTGGGGAAAGAACATCATGGCCACCTGTTTTTCATTCCTTACCTCTAAATATTCAATTATATCTATTATATTCCTTAGGTTATCTTTCATGTGTCTTCCTGGAAGAAACCCTTATTGATCTTGATAAATTATTTCTAGCAAGGTGCCTTTCATTCTGTTAGCTAGTATATTTGCAAATAATTTATAATCCTTATTTTTTAATAATGAAATTGGTCTGTAATTTTAACCTCCTCCAAGTCTGTTCCTTGCTTTGGAATTAAATGCCTCTTTCCAAGTTTTTGGTATTTGTCCTGCATTTATAATTCGATTAATAATATCTAATTATCTAATTGAATTAGATAATTTTGCAATTCTTTAAATAATATTTCATTGTTAATCCTTCTGGTCCCGGTGATTTACCTATTTTTGCTTGTTTAATGGCATCTGAGATCTCTGTAATATTAATAGGTGCATTTAATATTGTTAATTTTTCATTTGGAATTTTTGGCACTTTGTCTTAAATATCTTTCAATTTTTGCTTTCTTTTCTAGTCCTGCTCGGTATAAATCTGTAAAATATTTTATAAATTGTTTCCTAATTTCTTTCGTATTATCTGTTACTTTCTCTTCCATTTTAATCTTATTAATCAGATTGTTTTCCTTTTATTTATTTGCAAATAAACAAATCAATCAAAATACTTCCAGCCTGCCCACCAGAAATGACGCATAGGTCAGTCAAGGTGGAAGGTTCCAAAAACTTACATCACATAGGGTGACCCCCGCAGGGACCACTGTCTGGGGGAGCACCATTGGCCCTGGCCTTGCCTGGGCACACGGACATGACCACTGCACCCTGGATCCCTTTAACAGGATGCCCCAGCGTTTGGAGGGGCAGGCGGAAGGTAAAACCACCCCTCCATCCAAGATAAAGGATTGCTCCGATGCCCAACCACCAACTGAGGAAAATGCTTACTGCCAAACCACTTACATCTGCATCCAAGCCTGATACTTGCTACAATGTCCGCTAACCTAATATCGTTTCCTGTGGAGGAAAGGTGTATGCCATCAGGCCAAAACAAGAGTATCTTCCAAGAATTTAATATTGAGGTGCTGAATCACCCAGCCACCCCACTCCAATATGTGGCACCTAATTGCACAGTTAGGGACGCGGGTGGCGCTGTGGGTTAAACCACAGAGCCTAGGACTTGCTGATCAGAAGGTCGGCGGTTCGAATCCCCGTGACGGGGTGAGCTCCTGTTGCTCGGTCCCTGCTTCTGCCCACCTAGCAGTTTGAAAGCACGTCAGAGTGCGAGTAGATAAATAGGTACCGCTCCGGCGGGAAGGTAAACGGCGTTTCCGTACGCTGCTCTGGTTTGCCAGAAGTGGCTTAGTCATGCTGGCCACATGACCCAGAAGCTGTACACCAGCTCCCTTGGCCAATAAAGCGAGATGAGCGCCGCAACCCCAGAGTCGGCCACGACTGGACCTAATGGTCAGGGGTCCCTTTACCTTTAATTGTACAGTTGATTCCCACTGGGTCAGGGTTGCGCCACTGATGCCACTCAAGCATATTGGACCAGCCAAGGCATATGGTGGAGTACAAGTTGTGCAGCATCTGCAAGTCTTTGATTATAGCCCACGTTAAGTCAATTCCCTTGCGTTGGCCCAAATCGTTTCCCCCCAAATGGATGATGAAGGTGTACGGGAGCCCTTGTGACTCGATTCTCGCCATGATCAAGTGCATAAACTCTTGCTATTTCATGCCGTGGCAGCCCAGCCAATGAATCCCATTGGGAGGCTGAGTGCAGCTCCCAAGCCAGTGGTGATGGAGTGCATCTGTGCCCAATGCACAATACTGTGCCCACATATCCAAATGTTCTTGCTAGACGACCCTGGAATGAAATTAGGATAGAGTAGTGTGTAAGTTATTGTTTCTGACCATGTATATACCTCTTGTAGGCCTCCAACTGCCATCTGCCCATGGTCTTTATGTCCTCAGCAGAGGCACCCAAGCTCCAGGCAATAGTGGCTGCCCCAATTCTGAATGATTGCGTGGCAAACTGTTGCGCTTGCAGGCCGCACTCAGCAACTGCCTTACGCAAGACCCTAGACTAGAGAATTGATGCCTTGCTGTTAAAATGGAACACTCAGGACAAGACGGTTAAATCTGCTATGATTAAATGGGCACAGGATCTTGGACATAACATTATGTTTGCTGACTGGGAACAGTTGTGGACCACAGGTATGAAATTTACGGCATGTAATGCCTTAAGAGAGAATATTATGAAAATGATTTACAGGTGGTACATGACACCAGTCAAGCTTGCAAAAATCTATCATTTGCCTGATAATAAATGTTGGAAATGTAAAGAAAATGAAGGTACATTCTTTCACCTTTGGTGGACGTGCCCAAAGATTAAGGCTTTCTGGGAGATGATCTATAAGGAAATGAAAAAGGTATTTAAATATACCTTCCTGAAGAAACCAGAGGCCTTTCTCCTGGGCATAGTTGGCCAAGTGGTGCCAAAGAAGGATAGAACTTTCTTTATGTATGCAACAACAGCAGCAAGAATACTGATTGCAAAGTATTGGAAGACACAAGATTTACCCACACTGGAAGAGTGGCAGATGAAGGTGATGGACTATATGGAATTGGCAGAAATGACTGGCAGAATCAGAGACCAGGGAGAAGAGTTGATGGAAGAAGATTGGAAGAAATTTAAAGACTATTTGCAGAAATACTGTAAAATTAATGAATGTTAAAATGATGTTGGATTGAAAATAAGTGGTATTGGTAATAAGATTAACAAGAATATGCAAATATGGATCGATAATGGATGAAAATACATGGTTACAATAGGTTAAGATATAGAGTAAAGATAAATGAAAGAGGGTAAGGATTTGCCGAAATGATTTTCTAAACGGGAATACAAAAAGGGGAGGTGTGAGGAGGTCAAGGAAATAAGGAAACGAGCCTAAAGATATGGAAAAATGGATTTATTTTTAATTTTTTTCTTTTTAGCTATTAGTTTTTTCTTTGCATTTTGTATCTTTTTTCTTCCTCTTTCCTATGTGTGTTTTTGTAGTTTGTTAATTTTTGTTTTAATTTTCTCTATTCTGTAAACCTATGTTTTTTGTAAAACCTCAATAAATATTTCTTTAATAAAAAAGAGAGTTGATGCCTGACCGGGGGGGGGGGATCCATCTTCATGAATGAAAAGGGGGCCTTGAACATCGGGGGCACAGCTGCAGAAATCACCTATCGTCCTTAACAGGGCATGGGCCAGCACTCCCAAATGTAGGGAGGCAGATGGAAGCTAGCTGGTCTGTTTTGGGTGCCTGGATGTTAATGGACAAGGAGGATGGGGTAAGAGCAGAGGTTGGCAAACTATGGCTCGGGGGCCAGATGCAGCCCCCTAGGCTCATAAATCCAGCCTGCAGACGCTGCCACCCGCTTGGTCAGTCCCTGTGCGCTGTAGATGCCTCGCTGTGCAGGGACTGACTTCCGCATCACTGGCACAGCATCTGGGTGGGCAGTGACATTGCCACAGCTTCGGATTGGCTGCAGGAAGTTCCTGCAGCCAATCCAAAGCCTTGTCGCCTGCAAACTGAGGTAAAACCGGTGCAGCCATGGATGGAGAGGCTGGTTGGCGGGCGGTGGGTCTGGGCATTGTGACGGGCGTGTCGCAGGGCTTCAGCCAGAGCTTGGTGCGCCTGGCTCCTGGCTCGGCACTGCTGCTGGTGGCATGCTCGGTGGCCGCGCTGGAGCAGCTGGAGGGCGAGCTGCACACCGCCTGCCCAATGCTCCACGTGCGTGGCCTGCCCGCTGACCTGGCCTCGGACGACAGGCAGCAGCGCGTGGTGCACGCCATCTGGGAGCTCCGTGGTTATGGGCCAATGGAGCTGCTGCTGCTCGTCAACAACACCGGTGAACGGGCTCTGCCAAGACACGCTCCTGAGCACGTGCAGAGTGCATTCCTCCTCCAAGTCCGGAGCCATCTGTGGGACCGGTTTGCAGGGTATTTATATTTTTCAAAATATAGTCCGGCCCCCCACAAGGTCTGAGGGACTGTGGACCAGCCCCCTAATAAAAAAGTTTCCTGACCCCTGGGTACCAGCAATATCACATAGCTCCAGACTACTGTGTCTCGCCTGGCCCGGTCTGTTTTGCTCATAGACACATTCCCCCACTCTTAGTGCTCCAAAGAATGCCACAGAATATGCTGCCCTGAAGAGCCTATGCTAAGGTTACCAGATTTTTTTCAATGAATCCAGGGACACTTTATAGATGGATTTTGTCAGGGGACTGATTTGTAAATCCAGGGACTGTCCCTGGGAAACGGGGATGTCTGGTAACCTTAGCCTATACTCAAAGCGGGACCAGCAAATAGCCGGCAGCTTTTTCCAAATCTGCTTTAGAATGTCAAAAGTTATAGGTTGTGCTTGTCAGGAGGTTAAGTCTATGCCATCCTTCCAAAGCCTTTTTAACCAAGAAACCTGAGCATGGATTGATGGAAAATAAACATTTTGAAAAGAAGGCTGTTCCTGCAGCTTGGACAGTTAGAGTCTTGGCTCCATTTCCTAGAAAGGTGAGTGGACTTGTTCCATCATCCATGTGACAGCCCTTCAAATATTTGAAGCCGGCTATCATATCACCTCTCAGAACATTGTATTGTGGAATAGAGTCTTTGGGAAGGAGGCAAGAGGTCTTAAGGACCCTCTCAGAACCCTCCTTCCTACTTCCCAAAGCCCAGCACCTCACTTTGGGAAGGCAGTGTGAGAGCTGGGAGCAGGGCATCAAATGTTGCAGAGGGCCACAAAAAAAGGCCTCAAGGGCTGCATGTGGCCCTTGTCCTGCACATTGGACCACACTGCCCTACATGCAAGGGTGCTCAGCATTCCCATTACATTTGCATCAGGAGCTGCAGACCTTGGTATTTCTGCCTGTTCCAATGCAATGAAGGGGCTTTGTTTTGCTAGGAATGTATCATGCGGCTAAATTTAGTGCTGGTCATGCCACAAAGAAGAGGCAAAAAGAAGCCCACAGGGCGTTGTTGTTGTTTTAATTGCCTTGCAATTATGCTGGAAATCACATGAGAAGCAGATGTGGCTGGAGATACGTGAAGGTTGCTCAGAATTAGTACTGAGGGAATATGCAACCCTATCCGGGTTCTGTGGCTGATTTAATTTATGAGGATTCCAGAAAAACTGGTACCTGCTTTTCAAAGGTACTGAATGCTAACAGATGCCATTGGAAGCCACCAGTCTCTGCATTATTCTATTTCCCTTTTATGAAATGCAAAGAACATGCTCACTTTTACAGAAGCACCATCAAACCTTTCTCATTTGTCTTCAGAAATAGCACATCTTGGCTCTGTCTAAATCTCACTACTGAGCCAGATAGAAAGACAGGAAGCTGTGTTATACTGAACAAGACTACTGGCCCCTCTAGTTCAATCCTGCCTAAGCCATGGGTAGAGAATGTGGGGACCTCCACATGATGTTGGACTGCAGCTCTCATCATCCCTGATCATTGGGCATGCTGGCTATCTCTGGCTAAACTCTCTACATCCTCCAGCAGTTCTCCAGGGTTTCAGGGAGAAGCCTGTTTCTGTCCTACCTGAAGACCTAGGCATCTTACCTCTTTGCCATGACTGGAACACAGGGCTTTTTTTCCCCAGAGAGTGCTCACTGGAGCTCAGCTCCGATACCTCTCAGGTGAGTGCCATTGCCATTCTAAGGGAACAAGGGAGAAGTTTCTGGTGAGCTCCAGCACCTCTTTTTCTAGAAAAACAGCACTGCTAGAACACATATGTAACCAGTGTATGTGAGGGTGGTTGAAGTCACCCATTGCAACCACGGCAGTGACTGCAGTAATTTCCTTACAAGAGACCCTTTTCTAAAGTTATTGAACTCTAAAGTTATTACAGTGGTACCTCAGGTTAAGAACTGAATTCGTTCTGGAAGTCCATTCTTAACCGGAAACTGTTCTTAACCTGAGGTACCACTTTAGCTAAGTGGCTGCCGCTGCGCCACTGCCACATGATTTTTGTTCTCATCCTGAAGCAAAGTTCTTAACCCGAAGTACTATTTCCGGGTTAGCGGAATCTGTAACCTGAAGCATCTGTAACCCGAGGTACCACTGTACAAGAATGCTTCTTCTTTTGGGTGCTTTCTTGATTTCATTATACATCTCAAGAGCTGCCTGAGCATTTTGATCAAGGAGATGATAGCAACGTCACCAGTCCTAAATTGCTCTTGAGGTGTAGTATAACAATATAGGAAAAAATAAAACATTTACATATATGAAGATAGTTAAAGCCATTTAATATTTAAAACTCCTTCTCTGCCATCTGTTGCCACTGACTCACCCCCTGTCCCACGGACTCCTCTGCCTCCCCAATTATAAGAAAAAGGGGACCAAAAGGAGGCCGTAGGGAGGGGGGTGGGAGTCAGCAGCAGCAGTGGGGAGGGGGAGAAGGTGACAGTGGAGGAGGATTCGTCATTGGGAGGGCAGAGGAGTCAGGGGTGATGGCGCAGGAAGTGGCGGAGGTCCTCATAGGCCCTGATCTGCTGCCTCTCCTTTCTTTCTCCAGCCGCCAAACTGATGCAATTGCTTTAGCTTGCCTTATGGGCAGGCTGGCCCTGGATGCAGGATGAGGAAGAGAATGGAAAGACCTGCCTTTCCAACTATTCAAGATCCAGAAAATAGCACAAGGCTTGCTAGGTCAGGCCACCTCACCCAGCATTCTGTCCTCACAGCAACCAACTAGATGATTGTTTGAACCCCCACTTTATATTTTGTTTACTCACTGCATTTATATACCACCTTTTTCTCAAAGGAGCTCAGTAGTCTGTCCCCCCCCCCACTCCACATTTAATTCCCACAACAAGCCTGTGAGGTAGGTCAGGCTGAGGGGCAGTGACTGGCCCAATGTCACCTATTGGCTTCGTGACTGAGTGGGGATTTGCGACCCTGGTCACCCAGGTCCTGGTCCTAGTGGTATCTGACCACGGCATCACACTGTCTCTCATTTGTGCCACCTTGGATACAAGTCAGAGGGTGGCCTAAACAGAAATGTCAGGTAGATAATGGTAACATGAGATCCAGAGGTATAGTAAAGGTTGAGAATGCAGTGAGGGAGAATGATGCTCTCATCACAAAGGTGATAGTAGAATCCACACCTGTTGATTCAGTTTATGAGATGTGAGTCATTTCTTCCACCACCACCTACAAAGGGCCTACAAGGTGTTTTTTGAACATCTGGCAGCTAAGAGGCAGACTTAATATAAAAAACACACCAGGGGAGAAGCCTTCAAACTCTCTTAAACATGAAAAGGTTTACTCTGAGTCTCTGTAAGGGTTAGAACTACTAGATTTTAAAGGGGTATGGCTCTGAGTTCTGGCATTGAGTCACTAATTGGAAAGCTTTGAGCAGTAAGATACCCCATCTCTAGAACTGCAAACAAAAAACAAAAAGAAACCCTGATAATTAAAGGTCGGTATCTCTTAGCCTAAACTACCTCACAGGGTTGTTGTGAGGATGATCCAGCTCTTTGGAAGTAGGAGGGAAAGTAATAAATACCTGTTAGGTATTTTGGAAAGTTCTCTGCCTGTTATGCATTTAGACATATATTGAGATGTCATAACCAACTTTTTCAAGATGGCTCCTGAGACTTTTATTATTTTCAGAAGACAGTTGGATGCCATTTTGAATCAAAATGGTGGACTGAACCTTTCAAAAGTATACTGATTTTAACCACTGATTTCACAACTTCATTGATTTTTCTTTTTCATAGAATTCCTGAGCAATACTGGGTATGAGGCTGCTAGTACTTAACGAAATCTGGTAGAACAGGATAAAATACTTTCAGAGCCTTTAAAGGAAAAGTATCATACATAGAATAAACAGATATAGAAGTATAGATCTAAGTCCTCCAGATACAATACTCCGGCACACACTAGTTTTAATGCCAGGTTTTTTATGGGGTTTGGATATAAAGGCATATTCAGAATTAAATCATATGCTGTTAGCCAGAAATGACTCAACTGCGGGACAGGGAAGATTACTGTAAGCTTCATTCAGAGTTAACTCAACCCATGACTCCTGGACAATTGGATAGTCAAAGGGCAGTCTGTGTCTGAAATGCTTCTGGCTTAGTTTTCCATCAAGTCTGGGTTGATATATGGGTCATACTGGAGGTCACAGGAAACCCAGTTGGTCTGAAACTAGTCCAAACCTGAAGATTCTGGTTGTTCTTTGCTAAGGCTTGTGGGATTCATTTACATCTAATAATAACAACCAGGAGATGAAAGAATATACAAACTGGGGAAGAAAGAGCACTCCATAAATTCCTGTTAATTAATTTGCCCTGCTTTAACGTCGGTGTGACACTCCAGTGACACTGCCATATTGCTGAAAGGCTGAGTTTCAAAAATGCAAAATGCCCACAGATCTCATTGGTGTGTGCTTGCTTACTTACTTACTTACTTACTTATATCAAACATTTATATTCTGTAGTTTCTAAGCAGCATACAATGATGTTAGAAAAGGAATGCAGTAAGAAAAGATTACCTAAAACACATGCCAAAATAGACAAGTTTTCATCAAACACCAGAGCTTTAACAGGAAGGGGGCATGTCTCATCTCATCTGGGAGGGAGTTCCACACAACTGGGTCCACAATGCACAACATACAGCTCCTTTAGCTGAATTTCCAAGGCATGAGGAATTGCTAAGAGTGACTTTCCAGAAGATCTCAGTGATCAGGCAGGGATATTAGGAACCAGGCAGTCCTTAAGGTTTCCTGTACCCAAGTTGCTAAGGGCGCTGAGAGTTCTTAGTGGGGGCCTGTTCCCCTAACAGAGCTGCAATTCCTGGAGTTCCCTTGGAACTGGGATTGATTATGTACCCTCCAACATTTCTTTGATGAAAATAGGGATGTCCTGTTCTATCATCATCATCATCACCACCATCATTATACACCATTCATCTAACTGGGTTGCCCCAGCCACTCTGGGAGGCTTCCAGCATATATAAAAACATTGAACATTAAAAAACTTTCCTATACAGGGCTGCCTTCAGATGTCTTCTAAAGGTTGTGTAGTATAGTTACTTATCTCCTTGGCTCAGGGGTCATATAACTCCATACACTCCAACATTTCTCCAATCAAAATAGGGGTGTCCTAAGGAAAACTGGGACATTCCAGAATCAAATCAGAAACTGGGATGGCTTCTGTAAATCTGGAACTGTGCCTGGAAAATAGGGACACTTGGAGGGACTGTGATTATTTAACCACTCTGGTCCTAAGATGTTTGGGGCTTCAGACATCAAAGCAAGCACCTTAAATTGATTCCGGAAAACAACAGGGGACCAGTACAGCTGACAGATCTATGGCTACTGTCTATACCAGGAATCAGAGACCAGTATCCCTCCAGATTTTGTTGGACTCCCATTGGCCCTGCTGGTAAGGGCTTATAAGAGCTGGAGTCCAACAATGCATTGAGGAACACAGGTTCCTTACCCCTGTGCATGCCAGGTTTAGCTTATGCTGTTAAGAATCTTCCTTGGTGACGTGAGGAATATGCGCCAGCTCTCTTTGGGGGCATCTGGGGGTGGTGGTCATTGGCACAAGGAGAGACTGAGGTTGCAAGCTGGGCAAAGATAATCAGCTGTGTTGTGTCCCTCCCAGCCTCAGCTCTGCCAAAAGACTCTTCTTGTTTACAACACAGCACTTGACCTGATGTATTTTACAGCCCTGAAGATGTGTGCTTCACAGCCTTGTGATTCTCACTTGGGAGTAAGATTCTCAGCAGCAAAAGAAGCCTCCCAAACACACATTTGAAGCTCTGCTTTTGTGTGAGATTGTAAAACAAAACCATTGAAAGAGAAGAGCAAAAGAGGCCAAAGACCTGGAAGCTGCACAGATACCTCAGTGAATTGCAGCTATGCTGACTGCTGTATTTGAAGGCGCAGCTTGCAGTGCCTGAGCCCTGTTCAGAAGGTGGGGAAATACAGTGATGCCTCGCAAGACGAAATTAATCCGTTCCGCGAGTCTCTTCGTCTAGCGGTTTTTTCGTCTTGCGAAGCAACCCTATTAGCGGATTAGCAGATTAGCGCTATTAGCGGTTTAGCGGCTATTAAAGGCTTAGCGGCTTAAAGGCTATTAGCGGCTTAGAAAAAGGGGGAGGAAAGCGGGGGAAAATCGCAAGACTCGCAAGACGTTTTCGTCTTGCGAAGCAAGCCCATAGGGAAAATCGTCTTGCGAAGCAACTCAAAAACGGAAAACCCTTTCGTCTAGCGGGTTTTTCGTCTTGCGAGGCATTCGTCTTGCGGGGCACCACTGTACATTAACAAAGCATAAAAAACAATTTGCAACAAACAGTGTGAGCCTATGTATCTGGTTGCAATATTTTGCAATCTCGTCAGCACTCTGCCAGATAAATGAGCGATGCCTGGGTTTCTTTTTTGTAGAACCCAATAAGGTTACAACTGTGACAGTGCAGTCTTTGGGGATACTTTCAGATGCCTATTTATTGCCATGGGATCAGTTAGTGCTCCTCATGCTCAACAGCCTTCTTGTACAAGTGATGGAGGTGATCTCAGGCATGGTGATAAAGACAGCAAGACTGTTAGTGTTACTTCTGGGTGGCAGTATTTGCACACAAAAATCAGATATCACAGGCAGTATTATCCTAACAGATCCAGCACTAGAGCTTTTAATTATTTGATCTCCTGATGACCCTCAGCTAAGCCAACCTGATCTGGTGGTTCTTCTGCTGGCAGAAGCACAATTGGAGATAGCCAGTCACTGGAATTTGGCTGGACTTTCTATTAAGAGGCTGTCTGGACAAAATATGGCATTGTCAGAAAGATTAGCTTACCAGAATCATGTGGTTTGAGGAATAACTAAAAAAAGAGAAATTTGATGCAATATTCCGGCCTTTTATTTCTTATAACAAGGATAAGAATCACTTTCTGTAAACTGCTTTGAGTTTATTTGTTTAAAATCAAGCAGTATATAAATTTTATGAAATGAAATAATTAAATAAAATAAGGACGGACATTTACTACAACCTTCAATGTGTCAGGTTAGACTGTGGAGGGTATATCTAAATAGCCAAAATTCTGCCTAAGAACTTCTGCTTATAAGAAGAAGAGTTTGGATTTGATATCCTGCTTTATCAATACCCTAAGGAATCTCAAAGCGGCTAACAATCTCCTTTCCCTTCCTCCCCCACAACAAACACTCTGTGAGGTGAGTGAGGCTGAGAGACTTCAAAGACTAGCCCAAGGTCACCCAGCAGCTGCATGTGGAGGTGCAGGGGTGCGAACCCGGTTCATCAGATTACGAGTCCACTGCTCTTAACCACTACACCACACTGGCTCCCATTATATTGGACACACACTCTAAATTCTCTTAAATTCTGACTCACTGCATACTTCCTCTGATATTCTGCGATATGAACTTTTGTAGTACCACCTCAAGTGAGGTTATAGACATTGCTTTAATGTACTTTGTCTACATTGTTCTATGTTCATTTTATGTTTTCCAAAACTCAATAAAATAATTTACTAAGGATGACTGTTTGTCTTGGGAGATGTCAACATTCACACCAATGCCATATTGTTTGGAGTAGCTCAGGACAATCATGGGAACATCCCAATATTTCATCAGAGCAGTATATGTAGCTAGCACACTCTGGATTTCATTTTCTCAAGCAGGCAGGGAGAAGGTGGTCTGAAGGTGGGGGACTTTAAAGCAGTCCCTGTGTCATGGTCAGATCACCTCCTGGTGAGTCTCACAATGTCTCCTGGTGTGGCTTACAGTGGCCTTTCCCCACCCTATAAACCACTTTGTGGAAATAAAGGACTGTCCTCCATATGTTAGGTCAGGTGGCTACCCTGTTTCTACTTCTATGTCTAGGAAAACACAACTGAAGGCTTCTGGAACTCACAAATCTATCATTGTGGGTAGAAACTGTGGGCTTGCAGCTGAATTAAGGAAAGAAGAATGGTACTTATCTTTCAAGCAACTTACTGGCTGTAAGTGGGTGCTGAAGTATTCCTGCTCCTGAATCACCATACAGGTCTGTCAGCAATGGCAACAAAAACTCATCAGGAAAGGTTGATTATATTCAGAGAGAGAGAGAATATGACAGATGGACACCCAAAAGACCAAACATATCAGCTGGCACGCTTTGTTCCTTGAGGAATCTGTGAGCTCTAAAAAGCTATCCAACCACTGAACTGAATCTCTGAGTGAACGAAAATCATTTCCAAAGGTTGCCTGTTCATGACAGTCAATCTTCTGAAAAATGTCGTAGTTTTTAAAAAAATGAATAAATTCTGAGGAGTGGTTTATTTTTGCCAGCACTGGGAAGCTACAGGATGGCTACCACATTGAATGAGAATCAGTGTAGGGGTACTTAGGGTGTTGAACTAGGACATAGGAGACCATGGTTCAAATCCCCACTCAGCCATAAAACTCACCAGCTAACTTGGGGCTCTCTCTCAGCCTAACCTACCTCACAGGGTTGTTGTGAGGGTAAGATGTGGGGGAGGAAGTACCATGCATGCCACCTTGAGCTTCCAATGAGCTGCTATGTTTTTACTGTGGGAAACATATTGCCTACTGTGAACAAGAACTCCTGGATTGGTCTGTTTTTAATGTAAAATGGTCATTATGTGTCACTTTTGTACAGAATGCATTTTCTTCCTTTGTTATCTCAAGTGCATCGTTTTTACTTTCTGATTTCTGTGAGATAACTTCTTTTTTCTTTTCTTTTGCATGTTAACAAGAATACCTTAGGCATCATGATACCACCCAAATCTCAAGTAGTTCCCAATAAAACTGGGAGCAATGAGTCTCTTATGTAGGACATCACACAGTGCTTTGGTGCACCTGCTCTCTGCAGGATGTTTGGGCTGAGCCTGTACCAGTCGCTTACTTCTGAAAGCAGGTCTGGTCCTACTCTTAGGCAAGATGAGGCACCTACCTCAGGCAATAGATACTAGAAGTGGCAGCAGCCCCTAAGCATTCTTCCTGAGTCCCCTAAGCTACCGCTAGCCTGCCGCGCTCAGTTGTGATGTGGGATATCATTATCACATTTTGCCAGTGTTGAAATAAGATTCTAGTGCCAGTCTGGTTCGATTTTGCACATAGAATGGGAGGGGATACCATGTTGTATTTCATAGGAACACAGGGAGTCAGACTCTTGGTCTGCCTAGCCCTGTATTGTCCATAGTGAATGACAGCAGGGTCTTTCTGCATGCAGAGCAGATGCTCTGGCCTCTGAGCTATGGCCTTTTATCAAATGCAATTCTTGGCTTTTTCATTTCCACAGTAACCCATCTGCATGTATATGTAATGTCATTTCAGAACATTCAAGGATCATTCCTCCCTTCCTCTCCTTGTCTGTCTCCTGCATCCTCCAACTGATGGTCAGCATCATTGGGCACCTGCAGAGGGTCCTGCCAGGGTCCGTTGCCAACTCCCAGAGCCACCATGCCCTACTTGTTTCCCCTTCTCTCATGCAGCAAAATACCTTGGGCCAGTCTTTTCTGAACTCCCCTCCCCAAAACCAGGCCAATGGGTTGTGTCCAAATAGGTGTCTACATGTAGTGGGCATTTTTGGCCTGTTAATGTTTCCGCAGGGTGTTTCCTATTGACCTAGTTGCATGCTATAGCAGTGAACTGGGAACCCCGAAGCTGAAAATGGCTCTACACCTGAAAGCAACCAGGATTTCATTCTGTCAAATGTGGCTGCAAACAAACAGAAGGGGAGGAAACTTGCAAGTTACCGTATTTTTTGCTCTATGACTCATTTTTTCCCTCCTAAAAAGTAAGGGGAAATGTGTGTGCGTCTTATGGAGCAAATGCAGGCTGCGCAGCTATCCCAGAAGCCAGAACAGCAAGAGGGATCGCTGCTTTCTCTGCGCAGCGATCCCTCTTGCTGTTCTGGCTTCTGGGATTCAGAATTTTTTTTTCTTGTTTTCCTCCTCCAAAAACTAGGTGCGTCTTATGGTCTGGTGCGTCTTATAGAGCGAAAAATGCGGTATATGGCACAAATATCATTGGCTGTGATGTATTGCACTTACTTTATTTTGAAGGTTTTCAAAGCCCTGGGGGTGGGGGTGGAACCCTGAAAAACATCCTGATTTGCATGCCTTGTTTGACTATATATTTAAAAAGAATGCTTCCAATCCTATGAAATGTTTTTTAAAATCGCCTTTTTGTTTTGTTTTTATAAAAGAAATCATAATGAGAGAGTGATCATTGCCTTCAAATCTAAGCCTCTGCTTTGTGGCTGGTTGCGTAGAGGGAAAAGGACCAGCCTGCAGCATGGAAGGAATTAAAAAAGGCTTATAGAAACTTTGCTACTAGTGTTGTTGGCAGCTTTCTTTTTTTTCCACCTCTCTCTCTCCCTACTGATGAAGCATAGCTGCGCTTGGAGAGATACCTTTCCCAGCTTACTGTGTCTGTTGCCTATAGAAGCAAAAGGAGGAGAGCGAGAGAGAGAGAGACGGTTGACGGAGGCTGCTGTGGTTCAGCCATCCAGAAGATATATGGATCTGTCTCACCCGTGCAGGAAAACCATCAGCAGCACAGTGAGAGCAGGACCATCAACTAGCGTCTAAGGAATTAAGCAGCGCCCCTCCGCCTGTCGCAATGCAAAACTGTGGCGTGCAAAGGAGACGAGAGGAAAGTGTACTTTCTCCTTGGAAAGCCTAGTCTTCCAGCTCAAGCGACAAAACAACAGCTGGTCTCTTTTTTCTTCCAAAGCACCTGCATCTTAGAGGGGATGCTTCCAGGACACCTTGCAGAAAGCAATCTAGGGTACACCTACCAAGGAGGTGTCTTGAGGGGTCACTCTTCTGCTCCTGCTTACGATGAAAGGTAATTGGCTGCACTTGTCAAAATCCAACTGTTTTTATCTCTGTGCCAAGGCTTAGTTAGAAGAATGTGCTATTTTATGCATTTGATATGAAAGGAGAAAATAGACTATCTGCCAACAAAAAAAGAAAAGCTAGTAGTTCCAATTGATGGTTTCTTTTTTTTTAAAAAAAAAAAAGCATGCATTGAGGTATCAATTTTCTTGGTGTCTGTGCTTTTTCAGGGGGAAGTAAAGAGATTATGTGTGCTACAAATGAGCTAAGCAAAAGTATTGATTTCAGTAGTCAGATTAAGCCCAGACAGCTTGTTTTGGAAACAGGCGGCCTTCAAAAACGCACTAAATGCTACAGCAGCAGAGTGTTTTGACTAACTTTTTCTGCAAGCAGTACCGACTTAATTTCTAGCCCCACAAATATTCACAATAATACTATGCTGTCTACTCTAAAAATCATCCCAATCTGAGTTAACCTAAAATACTAAAACTGATCCTTTTAAAAAGATGGTTAATTTGTTTGTGCTTGGTGAAAATAAGACAGATAGGCTGACTTGTTTGTAACCGCAAGAAAGATGTTTACTGCAGTTGCTTAGCTAACAAGAAGAGTCTTGTTATTCAATCTCTAGAGCTGGGGATAAATAAATTGAATTGTAGAGTTGGAAGGGACTCTGCACCCTGCAATGCAGGAATCATATCCCCCCTCTTCATTTGTATGTAGGGGCATTTAGGGGCAATTAGCTCAGGAGCACAGGAAATTGTGATCTTTTTAAAGCAGAGTTGTGGACAATCTACCACCCTCCAGAAGATGTTGAAGGAAGCCTCCAACTCCCTTCAGCCCCAGCCAGTGTGGCCAACATTTGGGGATGATGGGAGTTGGAATCTAGCAACAGCTGGAGGGTTGCAGGTTCTGCATTCTCACTATCTAGTTAGGCATCCAGTGAGTTGCTTAACTGAGGATTACTTTTGTGGAAAGATCCACAAATCTTCGAATATGGGATAAAGGTGTCATGTTGTAGTAGTATTCATAGTTCTTCCTCTTTTATCCTCACAAGCCCATGAGGTTAATTAAACTGAGAGAAGGTCGCTGGCCCAAGGTTACCCAGTGAGATTCATAAGTGAGTGAGGATCTGAACCTGGATCTCTTCCAAGTTCAACACTGGGACCGCTAGAATGTGGGTGTGTTTTATTCACTATAAACTACTTCAAGATCTTCTGGTAGCAAGTGGTCTATAAACGGAAACAATAAGTAAATAAATAAATAAATACTCCCATCAGCCCCAGAATGACCAATAGTCAAGCATGATGGGACTTGGAGTCCAACAACACCTGGACTCCTCACTCCTCATGCAAAGTAGGACATTTGACTATACTGTCCTTGGGAGATCTGACTCAGAGGGTTCCAAGGCGAGTGTCTGTGGGTCAAGGCACTTCTGGTTAACAGACTCTGCCTCTGGCTCAGTATTGGTGACAGGGTCTGGATAATAATAATAATAATTTTTTATTTATACCCCACCCTTTCCGGTTCAAAAACCGGGCTCAGGGCAGCTAACAACAAATTTAAAACACTTAATTGTAAAAGCAGCATAAAATACAGTATAAAAACATGAATAACAATAAAATTCAAAATTCAGAAATCAATTTGGTGAAAATAAGCATTAGATAATCCCCAGGGCTAGCTGGCTGAATTGGTCCTACTTGGGCCAGCGAGGAGGCCAGGGGAGAATTAGCTGTGGAGTCTCAGAGCGGGTAATCTTCATAAAAGGGGAGGGGGAGGGAAGAGAAGGGAAATAAAGGATCAGGCTGAGTTCAAATTAAAGGCCAGGTGGAATAGCTCTGTCTTACAGGCTTGACGGAAGGAGGTTAAATCCTGAAGGGCCCTAGTCTCATGGGACAGAGCATTCCACCAGGTTGGAGCCATCACTGAAAAGGCCCTGGCCCTGGTGGAGGATAGTCTGACTTCCTTAGGGTCTGGGACCTCTAAACTATGGTTATTCATGGACCTTAAGGTCCTCTGCGGGGCATACCAGGAGAGGTGGTCCCATAAATATGAGGGCCCTAAGCCACAAAGGGCTTTAAAAGTCAAGACCAGAACCTTGAACCTGACCCTATACACCACCAGGAGCCAGTGCAACTGGTAAAGCACTGGTGAATATGCTCCCATGGCAGGGACCCTGTGAGGAGCCTCGCTGCAGCATTCTGCACCCGCTGGAGTTTCTGGGACAGTTTCAAGGGCAGCCCCACGTAGAGCGAATTACAGTAGGCAAGCCTGGAGGTGACCGTCTCATGGATCACTGTGGCCTGATCAAGGTGGGAAGGGTAAGGGACCAACTGCTTAATGCGGCGAAGATGGAAAAATGTCGCCTTAGCTGTTGCTGTAACCTGCACCTTCATGGAAAGGGAGGCGTCAAGGATTACACCCAAACTCTTAACAGATGGATCCAGCACCCTTATGGCTTCTGCCCCTGGCCCTTCTGATCTAGTTGATTCCTCTGCAGAAAAGAACATTTGCAGAGTGGGTTTATCTGTAGCCCTACCATGCTCCCTACAAGAACTTTACTGTTCACAAAAAGAAACTCTATTGTATGCAAAGAAATGGGCTCTTCGGCAAAAGAAAACAAGAAAGCCCTTGTGCAAGGAAGCATGCACAGACTTTTCAGCTGAGTCTATTCATTCAAATTGATTTGACTCCCCCATAATTTATTTGATCTGTATGTGTAAAGCCTCCCCTGTGGCATTCCTTATAATCTTCTACAAGTCAGGAGGTGTTCTGCATGAAGATTCCCTCTTGCCCTCATCACAGAGCATTCCCTGACACAGAAGACAAGGCAGGAAGTCCATGCACACACATAGTTTTGTGAGCAAATCAGATTCTTCCCTTGCAAGGAACTGAGCAACTACTCTTAAGACTGGAGCATAAAATGAACCACAGGCATCCATGCTAAACTCCCAGCCTCATTGAATTATCTCCACTCCTTAATCTCTTCCATTTATTAGAAGTGCCTTGTAGAGGCTCATTAATTTGGGGCTCTTGTTTCGTAATTGATTATTACACATGAACTTAAGGTTAATAACTTTAACATAATGCCACCTAATTTTCAGAAGTAACATCTGTGACGCATATTATTTCATTACCAAAAATGGTCTGTTAGGATTTGATGCGAGCTCTGCCTTTTTCAGCAGAAAGAGCTGCAGAAGACAAGAGAGGTGGCTGTCACCACTGTCATGCCACACACCCTCCTCTGCCAGGGGGTGCTCTGCCACCACCCAAAATTACCCTGTACCACTTCTCACTCTTAACAAGATGTATGGCTCTGAGCTGTGTTTCTTATGGGTAACTCTATAACCTGCTTCCACCCCAAATAATATTTATCTGAATAAGTGGGTGGGGAATAATAATAATAATAATAATAATAATAATAATTCCCCTGATGTTAGCAAAGTATGAGGCATGCGGTATAAAGCAATTAATTTATCGAAGAGGACTCATAAACAATGGCTGTGTGATTGCGGATTGTACCTAAGCACATGGTTTCAATCTGTTTATCTTATTTGTTGCTTTATTTTATATACAACAGTAGCTACTATAATACTGATACTACATTAGATGACTAACCCTGCTTCACATCTGCCACCAACTCTCACACAGTCTACCACCCACCCCCAAATGCAACTCCGCTGTCAACTCAACTCTCAACTCGATTCCAAACCCTCTCAGACTAGTATTCAAACTCCCTTTCAAAACTCCCAACCAATCACCGCTCACTATCAGCATTCCAAATTCACCCCTCCCTCTCATCTTAGTTCCTCTAATTTCATTTTTTTTAATTAATTGCATTTATATCCCACCTTTTTCTCCAAAGAGCTCAAGGTGGTTCTCCCCACCCCCCCATTTAATTCCCACACCAACCCTGTGAGGTAGGTGAGTCTGAGAGGCAGTGGCTAGCCCAAGATCGCCCAGTGAGCTTCATGGCTAAGTGGAAATTTGAACCCTGGCCCTAGTTTCACCCTTTAACCGGTACATCACACTGGCTCTAACCTATGCTTACCAATGTATTTACCTTAGTTACCCTATTGATATACGTGCTTATACACCTGAACCTTGCAATCACATTTAACCTCTCCATATTGCAACCCATATCATGATATTCAATAGTATCCATTTGCTTCCTCCAATAGTAAACTCAGTACCCCTTTGCTAGTAAGGGGAAACAAGAGGGAGACGCCAGGATGCTCAAGAGAACCTTGAAGTTTGCAGCAGTACTGAAAAAACAAAACAACAACCACCACCTAATGTCAACTGACCATTTTTAGTGGCAGCTGAGGTGTGTAGAGGAATGTGAATGAGCTGGCTTGAGCCCATCACAGCTGGGGTATGATGTAGAAAGGCATGGCTGACTGCAACTCCGAAAAGGACTCAAGCACGCTCCTGTTAAGGGAGCAATACTGCAAACTTTTGTTGCAGAGCCCATTTGCTGTCTCTACTTAACTTCTGCGTGATTTGTAGTCCGATCACCATATTTAAATGGGTACAGTGGTGCCCTGCAAGACGAATGCCTCGCAAGACGAAAAGCTCGCTAGACGAAAGGGTTTTCGTTTTTTGAGTCGTTCCGCAAGACAAATTTCCCTATGGGCTTGCTTCGCAAGACAAAACGTCTTGCAAGTTTGTTTCCTTTTTCTTAAAGCCGCTAAGCCGTTAATAGCCGCTAAGCCGCTAATAGCCGTGCTTTGCAAGACAAAAAAACCGCAAGACGAAGAGACTTGCGGAACGGATTAATTTCGTCTTGCGAGGCACCACTGTACACTTATTTATGCCATTTTAACCTGCATGTTCTAGACAGTAATTCACTTATCTATGCAAGTCCTTAGATATCTAGTACACTGCTAGATCTCAGAGAGTAGACACAGTATAGTACTCTCTACCTGAGCTGTAGGAGCCACGCCTTGAAGAATGCTTAAGGATGCTGATGGCTGGCTCCGTGCATATAGAATGTGTTTAACAGTGTGTTAAATAAGGCAAATGGAGTTTTCTCCAGCAGGGCTAGATTAGGTAATTAAGATTGTGCCTTGGATGACTTAATTGTGGTATTGACCAGGCAAATTATCAAAGTACTATTATGTCTAGGAGTTCTCATGTATTACTGCCAAGACTCACTCCTGGTTTATGCGCTAAGGAGGGTCACAAGTTCAAACTTTGTTCTTTGTGTCCCAAGTCTGGGCTTAATCTTCAATAGCATTTTTAAAATGACAGCAAGGCTGAACTCCTTGGTAGCATATCTTTGCTCCTGCTTCTGACAGACATTCATAAAAACACCTGGAAAAGCTTATACATGTACAGACTGTACATCCATGGGTTCCGTCAGTATGACAGGGGGAATAGACCATTTGTATGGAGCCTACACACAGAACAGTTTATATATATATGTGTGTGTGTGCTGAATACACATAAGAGTGCAAGAGCAAGGACAATGGGTGTGATCCCATCCCTCCTACATGTGCTCATTTTCAAGTGTGAACTGGAATCTGGCCAACAAACCTATATCTTTTAATTAGTTCAGTGCAAAAGAAAAAGAGGGACGCAGGTGGCGCTGTGGGTTAAACCACAGAGCCTAGGACTTGCTGATCAGAAGGTCAGTGGTTTGAATCCCCGCGACGGGGTGAGCTCCCATTGCTCGGTCCCTGCTCCTGCCAACCTAGCAGTTCGAAAGCACGTCAAAGTGCAAGTAGATAAATAGGTACCGCTCCGGCGGGAAGGTAAATGGCGTTTCCGTATGCTGCTCTGGTTCACCAGAAGCGGCTTAGTCATGCTGGCCACATGGCCCGGAAGCTGTACTCCGGCTCCCTCGGCCAATAACACGAGATAAGCGCCACAACCCCAGAGTCGGCCACGACTGGACCTAATGGTCAGGGGTCCCTTTACCTTTAAAAGAAAAAGTGAGCAATAAATCTTGCCCCTGATTTTCCACCAATTAATGGGAGAAGAAATTGCATCCAACGGGGTGGGGGGTGGGGGTGGGAATCAGTAAAATTTTAATGGACTGGGTATAGGGTTTTGGGTGTGCTTCTGTTATTGCTGAGGTGGCTGAGAGGTGCATGCAAGCGCCATTTATTTGGGTTGTATCTCATGCTAGCCCTATTCAGAGTAGACCATTGAAGTTAATGGGGACTGCTAAATTAAAACAAAAATCCCCAGTAGCACCTTAAAGACCAACTAAGTTAGTTCTTGGTATGAGCTTTCGTGTGCATGCACACTTCTTCAGATAACTGAAGAACAGGTATCTGAAGAAGTGTGCATGCAAATGAAAGCTCATACCAAGAACTAACTTAGTTGGTCTTTAAGGTGCTACTGGAAGGAATTTTTTTTGTTTTGACTATGGCAGACCAACAAGGCTACCTATCTGTAACTGCTAAATTAAAGACATTAAATTCAGCAGGCCTACTCTGAGAACTTGGTTGGATGCAACCCTTTCATTCTGCAAATCATCCCTCCTGTTGTCTGCGCTAAACAGGCTTTCCTAGGGTGCTCATGCTTCAGTCAAAGCTCATGGGAAAAATTCCCTGAGAAAACTCCTCCCAGACATTTTTCTCAGATCAGGAACTGTGGACAGCATGGGAACCTGCAGAGAACTGGACAAATATTTAGCCTTTGGCCACATTGCAGTGATAAGGGAAGCTCAAAACTCAAGGCTGAAGGAAGTTGTAAAGGAATTTAAAAATTACTGTGAGAATGAAGCAGATAAATTGAAGCCTTATTTGCAGAGGAAGAGAACTTATGAGAAACTGCGAGTACAGATTTTGGCAACGCAGTAATTTTTCCTTTTATTACCAAGAGATTCTCTACAATCAAAGAGATTATGTGAAAGTTTGCTTAATAATATAGTCTCTCTCTCTGTCTTTTTATATCTTTATAGAAATATCATGTTGGCTACTGGTACTGCTGTCATTTTGGCCATCTGAAGGTGGGAAGTGGAAAAAGACCAGACTCTTGTTTTTCTGAATATAGTCACTGATGTTTGCCTTCTAGTGAAGACAGGAGTCTGCTTCCAAAAGTAACCAAAGCAGACTTTTGCAAGGTAACTCATGGATCTGTGAGCCATTGGGTGACACTCTTGGTAGGAGATCCTTACCCGCCAAACTCCATTGAGACGTTTATTCCTTCCTGAAAAGAACACAAATATTTTTCAGCCAGGAAGGTTTTTTAAAAAGTAGAAAAAAACCACCACCCAGAAGGAACCTTTGATTGATTCTGCCATTTCCTTAGGCAAAGCCATGTGAGAAGATGACCCTTTGATGAGAACTATTCCTCTATACAAGGCAAAGACTTCAGCCCATCCAATATTGATGCATGAATTACCTCCTAATCTAATCTTTAAGACACTATCAAAGAAGAAGTAAGGAATTCATGAGTGAACAGAGAAAATGGAAAAGGCCTGAGTAAGAAATGACTGAGGTCTATTTCAGATTCCGTGGAAATCTTACTGGTCGTGCCCACCCACCCCCAACCCTGGCTACAGGAGTGGCAAATGCAGATAAATACTCCAACTTGTATATGTATGTAGGGTTGTTTCTGACCCTACTGGCCATCCTACTTATTCTACTTTTCACCATGCTCCTGCGTCTGAAACACGTCATCTCCCCTATTACCACATCTCCAGAGAGCACTGAGAACATCCAGCAGTTTACAGATGTTGAAATGCATGGCAGGATCCCCAGTACTTAGTGGGCTGGAGGCTGGGAAGCAACTGGTTGCAAAAAAAGATTGTCTGCGATGAGAAATCAATTTCATATGGTGGAATGTGTGGAGTAGAAGATTCTGCTCTCGCATTCTAGATTTCTGGAGTGCAAACTCTGGACAGCCTTGAGGGATGCACTGGCAGAGGGTTGGCCTGGATGGCCTTTAAGGTCCTTTCCAACTCAGTGATTCTACATAGAATTCAGTTTGCCTTGGAAATGGCAAGACAAGTATCCAGCAAGCTTAGCTTGACACTAAGAGCTGTAAGCAGCATGTGCTGTGACGTTTGGTTTCAAACAACCTACATATAGACATATGAAGCCGCTTTATAATGAGCTGGTATAATCTGGCCCTGTACTCATCGTTCTGGACTGGTAAGAGCTCTCCAAAACAGCCCAGGTGACTGGTTTTTTTGCAGGAGAAAATAGAGGACTCCTGGACTTAACGATGAATAAAAGCAATAGAAGGAACTAGCACTGTATCAAAACCTGTTTGCCTATCTCTCCCTCTGTGAAAGAGGTTGCAGGTTTATCTGCCTCATTCTCAGGACACTTGAGCACTTCTTCAGAATTCTGGTAGCTGTAGGATTGAGACACCCTTGGGTGGTATGGGAGCTTTTCATTCCAATAAACACTTCTCGGTGCTTCTGCAGCCTCCCTAACTGCCTGTGCTTCTGAAAGAGCCCCATGGGAGAAACTACCGGTACTTCATGACTTATTTCTGGGTTTTAATTGAAGCATGGGAAACCTAGGAAAACTATTACTGAGTACCTGAGACTGCTGTGCTTACAGATTTTATTTCTAAGAGATATATTTCCTTTTTAACCTTTCCACACTGATTTCTTTAAAAGTACAAAGACTTCACTTAAAAAAACAAACAGTTGTCAGGTACACAGTGGGCAGCCTCCTCACCTTCCCATACATTAAGAAAAGCCCAGCTGATGATGTCATGGCTTTGTCAGGAAGGGCACCCAGGAAGGCTGCAGAGCACAGACTACTGGGGAGAAGATTTGTAGAGTGATATAAAGCACACTCACAAACAACTCTAGGCCACCTTGAAGGTAAGTGCAACAAAAACAAAACAAATCTTCCCACAGATTCTTTTTAATGCAGTTTCTTGAGAGAAATGCAGGAGAATTTTTCAGTAGAGCATGAGAAGCAATATGAGCATTAACCACAAGATTAAATACTATACAGCTTCATACCTTTTCTTGGTTATAACCAGAACCAGTGCATAATACAGGAACTAAAGTGTGAGTGATGTATTCTTGAAGGTCATCTTTGCACCCAAAGAGATTCTGTCTCTGCTAACATGAACAGTGGCTTAGTAATTCTGCATGGCTCACCACAGGAAAGCAATGAAGTCCTAAATCTTTCTCTCTCAAGTGATTTGCAAAATCTAGCTTTCCTGCAATATACACATTCCAGTACAGCATTCTGTTCCAAGACCAGAACAACTCTAAAGAATGAGTTCCTGGTTCACTTAAACTGCAGGAGCCAATCCCCATTGGATAGATTAGTTTGTTCCACTAAAATTAACAGGAACTGCTGTGTATGTGTCCTATGCACTAGGATCTCTGGATTGGCAAAAATAACATTCACATTTTTGGACACTAATTTGCCAATCTATCAATGAGTTGGGCAACCTGCACTGGCTCCAACTGAAAAATAATAATGCTAAAATACCCCCTTTCTTTAATCCATCTGGATACTATTCCCTCTATTTCAGGTTCCTTCCCCAAATCTTTGAGGCCTCTTGGCTTTCAATGTGACTATGGTACCAATTGGTGCCTTGTGGTTTCCTTTGAAAGGACAGCCCCTGGTGGATAAAACCAAGGACCCATCTAATCCAGCACCCAATTCTCATAGTGGCCAGCCAATGGGAAGCCCATGAGCAGGACATGAGCACAACAGCACTCTCCCCACTTGTGATCCCCCACCCCACCCCACCCTCTTGGCATGTTACCTCTGATACTGGAAACAGTACACAGCTGCAATACTCCTGCTTCTCTCTGCCTCCCAGGTCAGACCTGACTCAGGAGCACAGCTGAGGCTGGGTGTGAGCGCTCGCTTGGGGGCGGCGGGGAATGGCGGCCCCTTCAATATTTTTTGGGGGGGCTCAGCCTCCTGCCTAGAAATATTGATGGAGCTGAAGCCCCTTCTGCCCCCACAGCTGGCGTTCCTCCTTGCTATTGCTGCAACTCCCTGTCCATGTGCTCTTTTGTGCGGACCCTGTTCATAAAAACAGACACAGGGAATAATAATAATAATAATAATAATAATAATAATAATAATAATAATAATAATTTATTTGTTTATATGCCGCCCATCTGACAGGGTTACCCCAACCACTCTAGGCAGCTTCCAAAAAATTAAAACACAATGTGACATCAAAGTGCAAGACTAGTCACCTCTTGCTGGCAAGCAAGCTGAACAAGGTGAATGGGCAGTGACTGCAAAAAGGAAAGGAGGAGAGCCTGCGGACTCTAAAAGTGGGCAGTGGGGTCCCTTCTGGGAAATGGGGCCTGATAAGCACCCAACAATGCCTACCCTGAAAATTTGACACTGCCAAATAAATGAATATACAAGGTGGAGAAAAGTCTTTCAACTATAATGGGTCTTGGGGGGCAGCACTCAGGAGGTTATTCTTAGCAGGTGACTAGAGATATTATTGCCAATATACAAGCATATCTCTTTTAAGTGTTCTTTCAGAGTGAGCACCTGAAGCTTACGCAGCAACAGAATCCATCTGTATAGCCGTGTGCTTATGAACTACACTAACTAATCAGCTAATGCAGTCCTCTTTGTGTTTTTTTCATTAGAAGGTGATATCTGCAAAGCCATCTGTGTTAGGTGTGTAACATTTCAGGGACATGAACTAATCTCAGCTCCATTTTGCAATCTAGCCTAGAAATAAAATCCCAGAGGGTATTCTACTATATAGCATTCATCTGCCAATTCCCCTCTCTCCATGAAGTGCAAATTCCCCAAACCTGAGCCATGCTAAAATTAGCAGTCATACACACACTCGTGCTTATGACAATAACAAGACCATGTTTCATCCAACACTCTGGAAATTATGGTGTGTTTTGTTTTGTTTTCAAACAAAAGATGGGTGAATCTGTCCATTTCAGTTTCTCCTCCCAGTTTCTCATTTTTTCCGTTTAGTTTGGTTCTCCACATGTCCATATTAGTTTGTGATTTATTTACTGTATTTTTAAAGTCCTTGTGAAAATTCACCAGCATTTTAGTGGAAATTTCTCCTAATATACACATTTGTACACAATTTTGCCCAATACACTTTTTTTTTTGCAAAGCAGTTTTCCCTAACTTAATATGTTTGTGTATATTATTTTTTACTAATATTTGCATTGTCAGGCACACTTTGCTGCAGTATACGCAGTTTTGTACAACATTAATTGTCTGGAGATCTGCATTGCAAAATTCAGAGATGACTGGGTTTGTTTATTGTTCTGGAAAATTTGAATGAGGCAGGTTTGCCTTTAAATGCTAATTTCCCCTCAACCACTATTTTTAATACACACACATGGTTCATTCTTGATGGGGTGTTACTTTTCCCTTGGGAGTTTGGGCTAATATTGTGTATGGGGTGGGGGACTACTAGAATACAGCTGCTCCTATTTATATCCATAGCACCAGCTTTATGCAACCCTTTTGATAAGCAATTATCTCTGTGCAACCTAAGCTCGGTTTCCAAAGCACTGAAAGAAAGCCAAGGCCATAGTATCTGCTTTGCATGCAGGTGTTCAACACAATGAGTTCTTTTTCATATACTGTAACCATCAGAGAATTTCCTGTGAGATTTCCCCCCCTATTGTAAATTTTAAAAAACCTCACTGTATATTAAACTACATATTGTATGCAGGATTAATACTTAACATTGTCAGAAATTACAATCCTATTTATCATTATAAATAACCATATTTTCCTGTCTAATGTATTGTGTCCTTTAGTGAATTAGGGGAGGTTGGTCACTGCATAGTGTGAACCTTCGAAACACCACGCTGGGGAATGTCAGGTTGGGATGAAAAATCAACCAAGTGCTCCAGGCACCTAGACCAATATTGCCCCTTGATCTGTATATGGGCAAGGTCCATTCTTCAGTCCAGTCTTTTATGTATATTCCCAGGAGGTGATAGAGTGGGAATCTCCTTATATTGGGAATCCACCATGTGGTTCCAAAGAACATTCACCTTTCTTTTGGGACAGGTTGTTGTTGTTGTTGTTGTTGTTGTTGTTGTTGTTGTTGTTGTTCATTTGTATCAATTCTTTATTTGCAAAATGTCTACACTCATACACACACCCCGCCCTGGCTCTTCCAATGCATTTGGAATATCTCAGGGCAGCTTAAAATATAATTTACATACAACCCCACAAAAGGAATCAAACAATCAGAAACGGGCTTGGCAGAAAGGTTTGGATTTCGTTTAACAGAGAAGTTTTAACCAATCTGGGCAGGAGGGGGAGTAGGTGGGTGGAGAATTGTAAGAGGGTGTCAGGTGTATTTTCTGAGTAAGGCAGAAAGGAGCCTCACTGCCTTTACAGATGCAGGATGGGTACTGTAACAATGTGAGGTTGTCATCACTTGTCTGCACCCAAGCAAACATTCATAAATCCTTTATGCACAGAAAGGATACCTCAGTTTGCCCAGTACCTCCCATCACACCTGGTTCGTGAGGCCATAGGTGGCAGCTATCCAAAACATTTTCCCTCTCTAGGCCTAGAGCCCAGCATCCTAAGATAAGCATAGTACAGCACAGATAAGCATAGTATCAAAGCAAGCCAGTTAGCATATATCAAAGCAAGGAGACATAGACATACCATATTTTTCGCCCCATGGGATGCACAGGCCCATAGGACGCACCTAGTTTTTTTTGGGGGGGGAGGAATAAAGATTTTTTTTATTCCCCCCCCCAGGTGCGGGGCTGGGGCGGGGGAAGCCCGAGCTTCCCCCGACCCCAGCCCCCAGAACAGGCTGCTATCCGCAAGCCATGGAGAGCTGCGCGACTTCGTGCAGCTCTCCCACGGCTAGCATAGAGCTGCACGAAGCCCAAAGCCTGGGGCCTGCTGAGCTCAGCGCGCCCCAAGCTTCTGGGTGTAGGCAGTTCTCCGCAAGCCGTGCGATGTCGCACAGCTCTCCCACAGCTTGCGGATAGCTTCCTGAAGCCTGGAGAGCGAGAGGGGTTGGTGCGCACTGACCCCCCTCGCTCTCCAGGCTTCAGCAAAAGCCTGCATTCGCCCCATAGGACGCACACACATTTCCCCTTCATTTTTGGAGGGGAAAAACTATGTCCTATAGGGCGAAAAATACGGTATATGAGCTCATTCTTGCCACAACTACTCATTAGTTTTTGGGGTTATCCTGATGGCATTTGCAGGCCTTCTGGATCATTTCACTTCGGTTCAACACACTATTTTTCTGCCTAAGAGGAAATATAAAGTTATGCTCACAGACAGAAGCCAACCAAGCGGGAAGCTGAATCTTACTTCAGGACTGGGGACAGACAAGATGACAACATCTACTGCACTGGTCTTCAACTGGTAGGTTGGGGCCACTACTAGGGAGTGACCTGAAGTAACGTGGATAGAAGAACAGCACTACCACCATACAAACACTTGGTTTAAAAAGAAAAAAGAAATGGGTCCTCAAATACATGCTTGATTTAAAGGTGAGTCCTGGGTAGGAAGAGGCTGTACCCAAGGCAGCAAGTTAGCTTTGTCCCCCAGCAGAGAGAAATGCCTCAGTGGAAGACAGGGGTGTAGCTTGGGGGGGGGCTGCTGGGGCGATGCACCCAGACACATTTTTCTGGGGGACACTGGCAGGGTGGTGTGAGGAGGACACAATAGGCACGTGCCCTTCCAATCTGTCTTATTGCCCTGGACGCCATGAAGAAACAGTCCGTCACTGGTGGCGGAGATAGGAAGCAGAAGACTTGTTCCATCATCTTTACTGGGGCACCAGCGCCATCAAGGACCACTGCCCATTAACTGTGTTCAACAACTGTTGAAGAATTCATTCCCGAGTTTGATTCCACCCCCCTTCCCTTCCTACCTCTATTCCCTTCTCTGCCTTTTAAAAAAATAAAATAAAAAAGCCTTCAGGGGAGGGGCTGTCTTGCTTTAATTAAGTGCATATAAGCCACTTTTGGCAGGGATGCGGGTGGTGCTGTGGTCTAAACCACTGAGCCTCTTGGGCTTGCCGAAGGTTGGCGGTTCGAATCCCCGCAACGGGGTGAACTCACTTTGCTCGGTCCCAGCTACTGCCAGCCTAGCACTTTGAAAGCACATCAAAGTGCAAGTAGATAAATAGGTACCACCCCAACGAGAAGGTAATAGGCGTTTCTGTGCGCTGCTCTGGTTCGCCAGAAGCGGCTTAGTCATGCTGGCCACATGACCCAGAAAAACTGTCTGCGGACAAACGTCAGCTCCCTCGGCCAGTAAAGCGGGATGAGTGTCGCAACCCCAGAGTCATTCACGACTGGACTTAACAGTCAGGGGTCCTTCACCTTTTTTAAAGCCACTTTCAGCCAAAGAGTGGGAAGCAAATGCTCTAAATAAATAATGGATAATAAGGAAATATTGCACAGGCATGTCCACTCTGCCTGACAGGAGCTCTCCAGGGGTACAGGCTACCTGAACCTTTTCACTGAAGATTCTGGAGGCTTCTTAACCAGGTAAATGTAAATTACCATCAAACTGTTGGTTGTACTCCGTTGCAAGGCAGATTTTCTGCAGAATGAAATGTGCATTGCCACTGACCTATATGACAGGGCCTTTTCAGATGTGGTTTCCCGGCTGTGGTATGCCCTCACTAGTGAGGTGCACTTGTCTCCATCATTATTGATGTTCAGTAGGAATGTGGAAATATTCCTGTTTACCCAGGCATTTGGAGGTTGAGGAATACTGTTCCTGGCAATGGCAAGATCATGGAATGGAAGAATGTTTTTTAATGATA